AAGAACACATTTTGCTATGTTACTTAAGCTCTTTGAAATCTAATTCCTTCTCCCTTCCTCACTGCTGTATCAATGGAAGAAAAAACCAGTATGAGCAACATCCCACTCTAAATAAGTTTCTAGGTCAAACAGAAAACTACTGACCCCTTTGCAAAGTTGTTTTTACTGCCTCCACATCATCAAAACACTTCCATTTTAGATTTGTCTTTGTTCTTGGGAACAAGAAAAAGTCTTACAGGGCTAGTTCTGGTGAATACAGAGGGTGGAGAATGACAGACCATTTCTGAGAGATCAAATAGTGAGTTACACATAAGGCAGTGTGTGCAGAGGTGTTGTCGTGATGAAAGAACCCGTCATCTAATCGACAAAGTTCCGGATGTATCCTCCGCACATTCTCTCGCAGACATCTTAAAACTCCCAAATTAGTGCAGGTTAACAGTGTGGCCAGGGGGAACAAATTCTGATGCACAATTCCATGAACATCTAAAAAGACAATGATCATTGTCTTCACATTCGATCTCACTCGTCTTGCGTTTCTTAGTCTGGAAGAGTTGAAAGTCTTCCACTGGCTTGATGCTTGCTTGGTTTCTGGGTCATACCCGTAACACCAACTTTCATCACCTGTAATGACTTTGGTCAAAAAGCTTAGATCACTTTCAATCTCTGTTTTTAAGTCCTGGCTCAAATTCAATCAAATTTATTTATTTATTTTCTATCATGTGAGAAGGCGAGGAACAAATTTAGTGGTGTAAGGATTTATTCTAACCAATTATTTTTAGTTTGACTTTTAGTTGCCCCTCCTGATTTCAGTTTCCTGCTGGAATGAAAATTTGTTATGACGTAGTAAACAAATTCAAACATGTTTCAGAAGCAGTATTTAAGTTGTGTGTAAAGAGTTCAAAGACTAGTAGTGGATTCAGCTTTAATTTTTATGCTGAGAGTTTAAATTTAGCTCTGTAGTCTTCGACACCTTTTCAGTTTATACTGATATTTCTCGGCTCGGCTTTGTGGTATGAAGTTGATTTAGCATTAGTTTAAGCTAAGGAGCAAGTCGTTAGTTATCTCTAAATTTAATGTGCATTTACATTCTTATATTCTGTTAATTTAAGTTAGCCACAAGTGGTGGTGATTTGTGAGCACCAAGTGTGTGCATATGCTCATTTTAGTTCAATATAAAAGTATTTATTCTTAAAGATATAGTGAGAATTCACTACTCTCTCTTCGACATAGAGTCAAAGTTGTGTGTTACCAAAGAATACCCATAGTATATGCTTCCACTATAGACTCTATAGCGGAAGCATGCCTCATTTGCCAATCCTCAATCAAAATTTGCTGATACAAGCTCCAATTCATAACCTGTCTCTTTTGAAATTTGGTCAATTGTGAAATGACAATCTTCGTAGATTTTTTTCCCCCGTTTTCATTGTTGTTTCAAGATGTTGAAGGGCATCCAGAGCAAGCATGGTCTTCAACACTCATCTTACCACGTTTAAAGCACCCAAACCACTAAAAAACGTCTGTGCTGCTCATAGCATCCTCCTTAAAAGCCTGCTGAAGCATTTGGTAAGCTTTCATTGTCGACTTTTCAAGCAAGAAACAAAATTCCAAATACACTCTTTGTTCTGAGAAGGATACAAGAAAAAATGGCTAAGGAAATTGACTGAATAATAAAAAATAAGCTCATACATCCCACTGGACAACTTAATGAAAAATTGAATGAGATGGGGAAAATGTTATGACTAAAACTGAGGGCAATTAATTTTAGTCAGGACGCCCAAATGTTAACAATTTCCACAGTACACTGCTAGATGGCATCAGAATTGTTTAAAATAGTTGTAACAATGTAAAAGTGAGAGACGAAAATGTAAACACAAAAGATAAAAACACAAAGAAACAAAATTCCAAATACACTCTTTGTTCTGAGAAGGATACAAGAAAAAATGGCTAAGGAAATTGACTGAATAATAAAAAATAAGCTCATACATCCCACTGGACAACTTAATGAAAAATTGAATGAGATGGGGAAAATGTTATGACTAAAACTGAGGGCAATTAATTTTAGTCAGGACACCCAAATGTTAACAATTTCCACAGTACACTGCTAGATGGCATCAGAATTGTTTAAAATAGTTGTAACAATGTAAAAGTGAGAGACGAAAATGTAAACACAAAAGATAAACATATAACCATAAGTGTAGCCACTCGTGAACTTCTCAAAAAATCAACTGAATAAAGTATTTGTTGTTCAATTGTTGAATTCATCTATATATATATATATAGTATACTTTTATATTCACCTTTGGAATACAAATTTCCTTACAATATTCTCTATTCCTAAGAAGAATATTATAAGTTTCTTTCTTTCTTTTTTTTTTTTTTCTTTTTTGCGCTTGTGGTCCCAAGGTCCAGATTAGATAATTTTGAATATTAGACATCCAGATTTCAGACTTTGTACTCAATTATAGGTTTAATACATTATCATATAGAACTTTAAAAGATCTCTTTAAAAGATAATATAGAAATAAGAAGAAATCAACTTTACACCAAATGCACAATACAATGTAAACTTTAAAGCAAAAAGCATGCCTTTGAACTAAAACGCAATAACAAACTGCTCCAAGTTCACTAGTAAACTAAAAATACTAACTTTCTCTCATTCAGATTTCAGTTGCATGCAATAAAGAGAGTACATGCAGATAGGAGAAAATTCATCCACTTTCTTACATTGTAACATGAAAGAAGGGGCAAGATGTTCCCTTTTACCCACATAAAAATGTTTTGTTATTTGATGCTGGTATCTGCACAGCACAGAAGGACAGAATCAGAGAAGACATAATTATCATTCAACTCATTTTGTTATAAATTTCTGATTCTAAATAAAAATGTTGATTCAGTGCCAAGCTGTACATTTGAAGTAATTAATATGGATTTTACTACAGTACTGAGCAGAAAAATAATTCCTTCTGCACAATTTTAAATTTATTGATATGGGGCACATGCTGTACAACGAAACCCCAACAAAGTGGGGCAGAACAAAGATACTTCCTTCTAAATATTTTAATCCAGCAGTTGAAATTTTCACATCAAACATGTCAGATAATTATATTTTACAAGAATACAAATAATCTTAACTAAGAATAATAATAGGGCAGATCTGATTTAATTGCTCGGTTTACCATTCTGAAATATATGATAAAATGCTTTTGTTAAAAATAAATGAAATTAAAAAGATGGCAATAAAATTACTGTCATTATTGGGATTATCACAAATAACAACGTGTGAGGTTGACAAACTTTTTCAAGCAACGAGCTTCTCATTTTCCTACACTGGAGAATTCCTAGTAGAAACATGTTTCACTGGAAGTGATGTCCTGTTAAGCTAAGTCGGACACTGTACAAATGATTCAAAAATGTTTCGCTTAAAGCTTCTTCCTTGGCAGCATGCTGTTGAAAAACTCAGTAGCATTTTGTCATGAAAATGAATCAGATATTCTCAAAATGAAAATTCACTGAAATTTTTCTTTTCATGCATTGTTGAGGGTCTGTAGTAGATATGATACAGGTTTAAGTTAATAAAGCATAATTCTGTTTAACAGATATAAAAATGAAAAGGATATTTGAATATAACACTTAGAAAAGAAAAATCTAGAACTGAATATAAAAATTCAGCATTCAAACACTATTATATTAATGGAAACTGCCCTAAACTCTCAGACAGACTTGACAAATGATTCCAAAAATCTTTCATATGTCATATTTACCCGTCCATATTTTGAGTTTTTATGTTGTAGTAACAAATACAGTCAAAAGTCGTTAATTCGGACACCCATAATCCAGAATGATCTATAATCCGGACCTCAAAGCTACAAACTTTTTGTAAGACCTTTACGGCTGCAAATATGCGTGTGCAGCGTGCGCAAAATACGTTTACTGATGCGCGTTTAATGTACAACGGACGGTATAAGCTAAGCTAAAATTATCTAATTCAGTTAATGTTGCAGATTGCGTTGTTCCTTAATCTTCAAATTGGATTCGACTTATTATTTTTTGCAGACTGTTAGAGCAATTTTATAAAAGTAAGCTTAAACTTTCGGTTATGTCAAATAGAATTTCTGATATATATTTACTAATATGTAAAGGATCTACAAAGCGAAAGTATGTTTCAAAGTCCATTAAACAAAAAGTGGAATTGCTGCTAAAAAAGGATAAAGGCATATCCTTTGTTTATCTAAACTTTTTTTATCTTTAACGCCGCGGCGCACAATGAATTGGAAGTTGATCTGTCAGCACTATCCTTATCTTCAGGGCAGATGTTTTTATTTTATTTGGCTTATAATTCCTTACTAAATGTAGTATTTCATCTCGATGTACGTCTTATTTTATTTATTATCTTGATATGATTTAAATCAAATTCCTCGTCATTATAATTCGCTTCCGATAGCGAAGAAAGTAACAGAGGTTATGAAAACGAAAAAATTTCGATTGACAAATTAGTCGGTATTCTCGACACAGCAATTATAGGACTTGAACAGCGGAACTTTGTAACTGAACAAGAAATTGTCTGTTTATAGAATTAAAGAGAATGTATTATCACATAAAAAACGCAACTTAAACAACTTACATTGAAAGAAATGTTTAATACAGTAAACAAATAAATATTAAGCTTTTTTTTTTTTGTAAATTTTGATCCCTTTAGATCATAATTGTTCTTTATTTCATAAATTACAGTTTCATATTTTTAATTTTATAATTTCTGCATGCCATCTTACCAGATTTAAACTGATGATCTATAATCCGGAATCGCCGAAGTCCCGACGAGTTAACGACTTTTGACTGCATACTATATAGAAAGAATTAAAAAGCAAACATCCAAGACATAAATACAGTTAACAATGTTACAATGTTCATTAGAGTTTTCTGAAAAAGTGAACATTTTGTCTGTTTCAGGTTCCACAACTGGAAATGAAAAGCAAAAAAATTTAGTTATTATTTTACCATACCTCTTTTTCTATAAGTTCTACACTGTATTTTACAGTAGGATCCTTTAATAACTTCAAGGTTTCATCTTTCTTCTGCAGCAAAAAACGTATCAAAATTGCCGTAATGGTCACAAGACTGAAACCAACAACAATTGGCACGACCTATAAAAAAATTAAAAATGGCATATAAGCTTATCAAATTGTTACACTCAAACTTTGGCACTTCTGTTAACAGAGTGCCACTCGACAAATATGCACCAAAATGACAAACGACATGATATAAGTAACAAAACGCCTGCTTACACTGCATTACAAATAGCAATGCAACATTTAATGCACACAATGCCAAACTTGATCTATCCACTGCTTCCCCCCATTTGAAAGCAGATCACTGTGTACATAACGAGAACACTGCTTAAAAAAAATCAGACAATTTCACAAATTTGCTATCGCACATATTAAACATTATATATATACGTATTATATGGCACATTACCGTTATTACAAGTTTACTTTTTCCCATAAAGCTTTACGTATCGTTACAGTTGCCACCATCTTGTTAAATTTTCCACTAACTTTTATGTTTGGCATTAAGTGGCACTCTGTTCACAGAAGCCTGTCTGCTTTTTTACTATTTAAGATGGAAAAAGAATCAGTTATTATTTAACTAGCGCTTTTGATAAGCCATATCAAATCAAACTTAAAGCACATAAGCACACTGCCTCCAAAAGTTGCAAAATACACTACCCAACACTGAAAATGCCAAGAAATACCAGGGAAAAGTGGCCAGAAAGTGACAAAACTTGGCTAACAGAGAGAGACAGCTACGCACAATAAATTACCTTTATTTTGAAATGAAATGCACAATACAGAGTGAGAAGAGTGTCGGCTAAGTAGTTTGTATGACCACCTTGGATGGCGATACATGAAGAAACACGTTTAGGTACAGAGTCCGTGAGACTATGAATGGTGTCCTGAGGAATGGCTCTCCATTCCCTGTCTAACATTTGTCACAATTCGTCTTCTGAACACGGAAATGGCAGGTTCTGCAAATAGCATCCAATCACATCCCAAATGTGTTCAGCTGATGAGAGATCAGGAGAGAAAGGTGGCCAAGGAAGCATCTGTACACCTTACACAGCATGTTGACTGATGCGAGCAGTATGTGGTCTGGTGTTATCCTGCTGATAAAGGGCATCTCTGAAAGTAGGGGTGTGTCACTGAGCCCAGCACATCATCCATGTATCGTTCGGCCACCAGTGTCCTGAATACGAACTAGAAATTACCTGAAATAGTACGTGATTGTGCCCCAAACCATGATGCCACACTGTAGCGTGGTGAGCTGTTCCACAATTGCTGCTGGATTGGACCTGTTTCCACATCAATGCCACATTCATACATGGTGACTATCAGTGTAGAAACAGAAATGGGACTCATCTGAGAACACAACCTTCTGCCATTTTGTCGTCCACATCGCTCGAGCCCGGCACCATTGCAGACATTGGTGTCTATGATGTGTGTGTGTGGGGGGGGGGGTCAATGTCACTCTTCTTAACAGATGCCATGAGTGCAGGCCACAAGCCACGAGTTGATGGTAAATGGTTCTGGTCAATATCCAGAGCGTCTTGAACATGCTGCAGACTAAAGGTAGAAGTGGCTTGTGGCTACCCCACCACTTGTCGGTGGATGCATCGATGCACGCCTGGCTGCACCGGCACCTCTTGAACGTGCCAAATTTCCTTGTTCCAACCATGGTTGCTTCCAGATATGTGTCAGCAGAGATTTGCCGTGTGCAGTAACCTGCCCTTCTCAGTAGAATCATCATACCCCTCGTAAATTTGTCTGTCTGCTCAAAGTGCCTCAGTTGATGGCAGCATGGCATTTTCTGTTATTACACGTCCTCCGAGACAAAAACAAATTTTCTATGATGATTTCCCTAGCATAAATAACAGCATGAAAACTGAACATTCTGTAGGTTGCTTCCCTTATATCTTCTTCAAAGTGTGCTGGACAGCTGCGCATTTCACATTATTTGCCTAACTTGGTGATGTGCATCTACCCTGCAAATTGCATAATTTTCGGGGCCACTCTTTCTTGGTATTGCATTTTCAATGTCGGGTAGCATAATGAACAGCACGCACATCCATGAATTCTACTGGGTTAAATCAATGATCACAGATAAACATCAAATGATAAATTAGTCATGGAATGAAAACAACTTGTTTGGGCTTAACAGTTTCAATGTACAAAGAAAATTTTCAAAATGCCTAGCATTCACTTTGAATTAAATTAGCTGTGTAATGACAAAAAATATGATAAAAAAATTCTGAACTGTGTTTCAAGACTCTTAGTATACCACTAAGAGGCTTGAAACACAGTTTAGAATTTTAGTATGCTACTAGGAAGCTTGAAATACAGGAATCGATTAATACATTAAGCATAAAGTCAGTCAGTCAATAGTCACACTATACTTTCTGTTCGGAAGATGTCAGTCACCAGTTACTGACAGAACACTTTTTGTTCAGGCCAAAACAGGCATGGCACTTAACATATTAAAGAAGACATTAATCAACCCCCTGGCTTAATTTAACATTTCTGTTAATCCATTCTGGGTACCTTCTGACAAATAGTACATCATACTACAGTACAAAGTCTGAGATTCAGACGTCCAATATCCGGAATGATCTAAAATCCGGACCTCAAAACCACCAACAATTTTTTTCCCCAATATTTTACGCATGTGCATTTGATACTCCCCCCCCCATAAATAAAACATGTGGAGAGTCTCGATTCTTAATTTCCCTTCAGACATTAAATAATACCTTGTTATTGAAGAAACAATAATTTAGAATAAATTTGTGTGATCAATAGTTTGGCTGCATATCTGCTTGGCATACATCTCAAACCGAAACATTCTAAATAGAAACATAGTTGATTTTACATCTACAAATATTTTATATCCCTGATGTCAACCTGGCAAATCATTATTTATTATATTTTGCTTTCATCACCGCATGTTAATCAACACATGACAACTTGAGTAATGACTCATGCAGCAATGCCCAGACAATTTTTTACATCAGCAATTTAATAGCAAATGGTACCTTTTATGGTGACATTAAGCTTGGAGATGATGATGGATTTAAATTAAATGTGCTAAGAAAGCTCAGAAATATCGACGAGGAAAAATTTCACAAAAATATTTTTTCATCTGCTAAAAATAGTTTTGTTAATGATACTCATAGGCCAAACGATTACATTTAGTACAATTTGAATTAAGAATAACTGATTTGTTTTTCACAGAAACCTAGAAGCAGCGCCAGAGCACGTATAGCTACATCGGGAAGCAGAATTTAGGGAAGACAAGATTTTTGGAATTTAGAAAAATCCCAAGCAACAAATGAATTAAGAAATGAAAATATTTTTAGAATTTAGGGAAAGCACTGGGATCCAAAATTTAGGGGCTGCAAAAATTTAGAACTTAGGCGCTTGGTAGCATAACTTGGGATCCACAGAGACTGTATCAGGCAGTAAGATACCTAGCACTGGCCCTCGATAAGCCTAAAGTATATATGTGGGAATTTATTAATTCAGGACTCAGATAAGCCTTAAGCATGTGCAAGAAATAGACATAAATATAATAACTAACCTAATACAATCGGGCTTAACTGTCTCGGTGTGCAATAGAAGCAAGATAAAATTTAGCAGAACAACTTGTCTTTCGTCGCCAATCTCATGATACACAGCCAATAATGTATAGTGGATGCCACTAAGCTAGGCTAAAATTATACTTTCCTGAATTCAAGGAATTTCAGTCAATATAGCAAATTGAGCTATTCCTTAACTTCTGATTTGATCCATGATTTTTTTTCAAGCTGTTTTTATTATAGCAATTTACGAATACCAGATTTTCAACTTTCGATTTTGTCGAAAATAGTTTCTAATTGTGAAGCTGCAACAGGATCTACAAAGTGAAAGCATGTTTCAATGTCCTTTAAACAAAAGTGGAGTTGCTGCAAGAAATGGCTAAAGGTATATCTGTCTCAAAATTATGTGAGGAGTATGGCATTGGAAAGTCAACTGTATATGACAGAACAAAACCAAAATAGGAACTTTTTTCACGCCATTTGCAATGAACAACAGAACAATTAAGCTAAAAGTGAAGATCATGACAAAGTGATGATTGAATGAGTCAGACAGCATCACAGGGAGGGCGTGCCATTGACGGGTCCAATGCTAATGGCTTAAGCTAAAATATTTCACAAAGAAATGAACTTAAAAACTGAGTGGGCATATTCAATATGTTGGTTTACCAAATTTAAAAATCACCGTGGTATAAGGCAATTAGGAATTTCAGATGGAAAAGCTTCAGCTGATACTAAATCTGCTGAACTATTTGCAGATGAATTCATTGAACTCATTAACAGTTTAAAGTTATCTCCAGAACAAATTTACAATGCTGATGGAACTGGTCTTTTATGGCAATATGTACTACAAAATGTCTTAGCAACTTCTATAGAAAAAGCTCCAACTTGTGTCAAAGATTCCAGAGCGAGACTAACAATTTTAATATGCGCAAATGCTGCAGGAATGCACAAGTGTAAACTTTTCGTAATTGGAAAAAATACACGACCTCAAAGAGTAAAGAGTTTCTCGTTATATTGTGCAAACAAAAGAACATGGATGACACAAGTGTTAATGAATGATTGGTTTGAAAATCATTTCATACACGAAGCTCGGAAGAATTCGGTTGGTTTACCTGATAATGAAAAAATAGTCCTGATTGTAGATGACTATTTGGCTCATATTTCACTTAAGGTTTTAATGAAAGATAATGTATCCACATTTTTCTTTTCTCCAAACTGTACCTTCAGCATTCAGCCTGTGGATATCGGAATAGCATGCTCGCCGAAATGCAAATATAAAGTAGAATTTTTAGAAACCATGTTAAATTTCTTGAATAATGGCAAGATTATTCAAGAATTTTTGAAATAGTTTAGTAGAAAATCTTCTGTGTGGAGCATAGCAAGATTGTGGGAGGATGTGTCTCCAGATACTTTAAAAAAATGCTTGCCATATTTTATGCCCACCTAGCATGATGATGAATATGAAAGCCACAAATGTGAAGGTTTTCGGATATCGCAAACCAATCCCTACGAATC